TGCGCTTTGTGTCCAGATGGAATTAATTCTTGTGATACAGAACGAGACAGAGCACCGCACTCATGGGCTTCTGGGACAGCTGCACATCAGTAAACTGGGTGTGACTCTCTGGCTGCTCCTCTGTTGAAATTTCAATAAGCCACAGGAGTTTGACTTCCATGCTATGATTTGAAATGCCCCTCCCCTGTTTTCCCACACAGTGTCAATGCTTCTGATAATACAATTCATACTACCCTTGATGTATTTTTTACATATATTTCATATCTTATTATTCATATCTTATCTTCTTGTTCTTATTGTTCATATCTTATTGTTCTTATGTAATCTGTCCAGCCAATGTCAAAGTCCTTTTATCTACCATGACTTTGATTGAATATATATATATATATATATAGGTCTTAATAGTATGTTCGTGTACAGTGTGTCAGGCAAATACAGGCAAACAGAAGACATTATACATTGCTGTGCAAAAATCTTAGAAATTTTGAAATTTGTATACTCTGAAGCATGAGAAAACTAAAACTTTCCTCATATGCTAGCATTTACCCTTTTATTCAAGTCCTCCCCTTTCCTTTTCAGTTTTGATTTCAACAGTGACTTTCGTGCTGTTGCTGGATGGACACCTGACACTTGAGTAGTCTGCCAGCTCTGTTGTCAGTTTAATGACTTATTTCTATTCTGTAAGGTTATTATCTTCAAGTATCACTCATCTTTGGGTCCAGACTTTCTTAGACAATCTTGGTTTTATCAATTATGGATCATGTTTTTGTGCACTTCATTATCATGCTTTGGATAGCTCAAGCAATGTAAGCTATTTTTGTACAGTGTTTTCCTTGTTTATGCAGTAACGCAATTCTATAGCAGTCTTGTTAAAGACATACATCCATGTATTGTACTTCCTCAATGTCTTCTGGACAGCAGTGTACTATATACACAGATATCTGATGTTTGTTTTCATATATTTGGTTTTTCAGAACTAATGTCATATATTAGAGCAAATAAACATATACAAAGGCCTACATAGTGCAAATCAAATCTTTTATTATTGACTTGTTTTGCATAGTGAATACCCTTCAGAATCCCTGGATTTACAGGACAGTGATTTTCTTGTGGAATGTGTTGTTTAATGATCTCAGTTCAGTTGTACGACACAAATAAATGTAGATAAGTCTCAAAGTGTTTGAGTGATCATGGGACTTCTGAAGCCTGTTGGTCTCTTACAAGCCATCACTGATCTGGGAACCTGATAGATTTAAGAGGTAGATTAAGTCAAGCCGTTGAAGGAATGCAGGGACACTATGGGACTCAGGGTGATTTATACAACCACTAATATGTCTTGTCTCCTTTTCTTGCATCCAAAATTTGTAGGTCTGACAGCCATTAGCCTGGTTCTCAAGAAGTGCGCCTTGCGTTGGAAAAGTTACTGAATTATGCATGACTTTTATTTTAGGCACTGTTATTCAATGTCTGTCTGAATGTAATAATGATCTCAAACTGAGTTAGGTACAAGGGAAGTTTATCTATTAATCATAAGCAGGCCAAGCTGTAGGTTAAAAGGCATTCTAAATGGTTTTTGCGCTTTGACACCACATTGTAACTTTAAATCAGTTTGGAATATATTCATGACTCACTAAAACTTGATGTCCAAAACATAGTGATACAATGCAAATTTCAATGAAATCAACACAATCACCTGGGTTTTCCCCCAAATATCTAATAACAACTTGTTTTGGACAAAAACATCTATCTTTTCAACTACATGGATAACACAGAAGAGCTCAGGCCATGAAGGACATTCTCATAAGAGGCTGATGGCATTCTGTTTTATATTTTCTTGCTGTCTTGTTGGTATAATGTGTCGTAGAGTGTGCCACTGTTGACCACTAGACGTGCTTCTTCTCCAATTTGCATATGCAAACATGGTAACTAAGTTTACTCACTCCAATTAGAAAATGTTCTCTGTAACCCTTGTCCTCTAGAGTTTGAGTCTGGAATGCATGGTGTACCACTGACTAATCCAGACTGAAAGGGTACTGGATTGTGATAATAGACAATTACATTTACAAGTTCAATTCATAGGTGTAATTGCCATGGCATTAAAAGTACGAAAAAGAATGCTGAGACTTCAGTGAACAGGCGCCAATAGTTTGCATGCCATATTGTTTTAGTTTGGCATGTTCGGTCCTGTTTGTACTATATGTCAGTGTCAGGGGGAGGCAAATTGTAAATGTCATCCATCTGAAATTAAATCTAATTTCTATTAAAATTTCAATAGAAAATATCTGAAGGTAACTGTTTTCCATAAGCCTTCAACCAAGGAAAAAAGTTTCTCAAATATTATGATAAAAATGAAAAAAAAAAAAATCTTATCTCAAACCACTTATAATACAAATTGAATCCATTAAGTTCTTACTAGATATTTATATGTAAATAAGGTGAGGATGTGTTCGCACATATAAAATGCATTATTGAAAAGAGCATGATGGGGCTCTTATCTGGCCTACACAGTAGGAGAGATACAATATCTGCACTGATAACCACTGCATATCTCATTCACTTATTGCTTGTCATATTCCAAATAATATGGTTATGAATGTTAAGATAAACAGGTTCCATTAAAATGTAATAATGCATAAACAGCAACTGATGAAACTAGCTTCTTATGAGGCATAAATATTAGGCATACTACATATAAAATCATATTTTAAAGGATAATTTGAAATTTAACATTAGTGCACACGCATATTGAAAGGCAAGACCTTTTTTCCCCTGTTTCCTCAGATGAAAATATTTGCAGCTGAAACACACTTCAATTCACATATTCCACAATCTCAAAAGAAGGCATAATGTCAAATTCCTTGAAGGACAGGAAATGTCCTAATATGCACTCTTTTGATAAACTAACAAAGTCTGTGTAAGAAGTTGCCTAATCCAAATCTTTTTTTTTTTCTTGAATGCAGCATTTTATTCAGTTTTACAAAAGCTGGCTAAGAATATCCAATTAAAAGAGCTGGTTTCTAATACCTGAGAAGAGTACCACTGATAGGAGCTGTCTGTTTTGTCCTTTGCAATTCTGCATTTGATATACTGATATGGTGGCAATGAAGTTTGGAAGAAATTAATGTCTGTACTTGAAAATATTTATTTTCATGCCTGTGGTAAATGGGAGAACAATGCAATTAAGATCCACAGCTAATTCTTATGACTTCTGCTTTTCTTCTGTAAATGACATTCAATAGCAGAGACATTCATTATTTCCTGATTTTATGACTCAAATTATGTTTTGCTGGGGCCTGAATGACACCCACTTGACTTTGCCCTTTGTTGTGATTCCTGGCTAGTTCTACAGCAAGGAGGAGGAGTTCTTCAGTTAGCTCACACCCCAACATGATTTTGCCCTCAATATCTGCAGTCGTGGGAATTCTTTTCCATCTGGGCAGTGCTCAGTAATGGGAGCATCTTGCTCATCCAGTCCCTCCAACATGTTTCCATGCTTAACAAGTCTAAAGGGAATCTGAACAATTTGAAGGTGGGAGGTTATATTTCATCAGCCTCTCTGAGCAACCACTGCTGCGCATGAACTCTTCCCACGTACAACACAGCACAACACTTGGTCTGAGGTGTAATAGTAGCAGAGAATTGTGAAAGAAGACACTAGCCAACCACTCATAATCAGTTATAGCACTGGTAATATATGCATGAAAACCTGGGGAGGAAATTAAAACAAAAAAAAATATATATTTTTTTTCATATAGCCTGTGAAAAACAGATGACTGCAAGCAGTGATTTATGTTAAGCATAAATGCATTCTCTGAAGCACATTTTCTGGGTCATACATTTGCGATGGATATTTAAGAAAGTTGATCTGTACTGAAGGGCAGTGACATGACAACAGTCTGGCAGTAACTAGTTTTATGATTTCTCAGTCCAATTACTCTGCCAGTGTTATTTACAAATCATTGGCAGACTGCATAGTGATTCTGTAAAATCACAGCAATTAATTCATGAACCATCTGGAGAGAAACCTTCAATAAAATTCTATCAATATTATTCCACTGTTCAAATATTTATCTGAATGTAAATTCAGTACTAGAAGAAATCTCTTATTTAAGATACATGCCACTAATCCGATAAATGCCAAGTATGATGTTATTGTGAATGTATGTAAAGGAATCTGCTCAATACAGAAGTGGAGATAACTCTCCTATTCTCCAAGACCATATTTCGAAAGGCATTTAAACATGTTTTGATAACACTACCATTATCTTCCATCCAACAAGTTGGTTTAACACTAAAGGAGCTCTCTGGGAAAGCATAACATTTTTTAATTCACAAAAGAGAAGCACCAAGCAATCCCATCAGCCACTTTAATTAGAGACAAACACTTGCCATTTCCACAACTGGTCTTTGTTCCTACAATGGAACAGCCAGAGCTTTAGTGTTTAGTGGCTTGGTGCAAGTTAACTGGTTAGTATAAATTGACCTGAAACTTTGGGGAATGTTAATTTGCAATGCATGCACTGACCACACAACACTGTCAGCTGTGTCTTACATTATCTAGTCATATTAAACAAATCTTATTATGACCATATCACATCAGCAATACATGGATATCAGATGAAATTCAGGATTTCCTGTTTTGCAAATATCATGGTTTAATTTCACAAAATTTCTTGAACATATTTTAAAATCATTGTCTGTAAACATTTCTGCAATGTTGCTCTAATGTTTCTTGATATCCTGGGCTTTGTTTTTGGGTAATTTGGCGACTTACCAATACAGTTTAGTTCATTAATAGCTTCCATAATCAACCCAGCAGCTGCACACAGCAACTTTCCCCTCCAATGATGACCTAATTGAGGTGTATTACATTTTTACCTTATTTGCATTTAACAGATGCTCTTATCCAGCGCGACTTACATAGGTTACTTTTTTTATATACATCTACTGTATACAGCTGGATATTTACTGAGGCAATTCTGGGTTAAGTACCAAGGGTACAGCAGTGACCCAGTGAGGAATCGAACCGGCAACCTTTCGGTTACAAGTCCTGCTCCTTACCACTATGATACACTGCCGCCCTTATACATAAATATAACATACAAGCTCCTGCCTGATAGCTCTGCTGCCAACTCCTGCAGAGGTGTAAAGGTTGTGTGGAGACCCAGGGGAGGTAACCAGCGTGTATTTCCCCCATCCACATCCACTTAATGCTGGTGTCTATCAGAGCAGAGAGTGAAGCCTCTGCATCGCTGCCCTGAAACATTCACAGCACTGACAACAGCTCCAAATCTATGTCCTTTCTCCTGTTAACCTATGTCCCAAGTGTACTCTGCACTCACAAAGAAGCAAGGAGAAACAAAGGACACCCTCCTCTGTAAACGTATTTCTCAGTATAAAAATAGACACATCCATAGGGCCACCTATGAGTATTCTGTGGACAGTATTTTTCAGTTTTGTATGGGTTTGAAAATAAATAAAAAATACAAATCAGGCAGTGATTAAATGATATGCACATGGCATACTTATTTTCTGAACACTAAACTGCAGGATTTGACATTATGTGAAGCTACATATTACATATTACTCACATTGTACAGAAGTATTTTGTACATTAACGAGTGTAATTCCCATGAATAGTGAGGATCCTCCAAACAAGTGATGGGTAGCAAAATGTATGGATGTAATATTTAAATATGTAACCACGCTACTAAAAAGCCACAGAATCATGAATAGCTATCATATCTACTGTATATCTGTATATATATGTATATATATATATATAATTTTTTTTTTTTTTTTTTTGAACTTTCAGCCTCATCAACTAGCTTGCAACCTTATGAACTAGTTAGCATGCTCAGTCAATTTTCTATGATATTAGCTATCTAATTAGCAAGTCAGCGGGCTTTCATGCCAAGTATTGGAGGATTTGTGGTGATGTTATTTTTCAGTCAAAAATATGATGAGAGAAAAGCAGCAGACCTCAAGGACATAGTGTTTATATTGTTGGAACAGTCTTAACACTGTATAGTTATGCGAATTGCCTCACCACCCTGTAATTTGGTAGATGACATGTCCGCCATCCCAGTGTGCTGTCGAAAATGTATCAAGTTGGAATGAAGCGCAGAGGAAAATTTATTTCCTATGTAGTTTCCATCTTTCTTACAGAAAAAAACAATGAACATCCAAAGGGTTCAATTTTCTATTAACTTATTATGCTTAACTCCAGTCCAGCTTAAGAACAGTGACACTATTGATTTCCCTGGGCGCTACAGTTAAGGGCAATTAGTTTCAAAACATTGCAAATAGCGAACTAATTTCCATTGACATTTTCCCCTCCAACAGGGCTGTGACCTTGCTTGCACCACTTGAATAATGAGATATATTCTGAACTTCTAATGTTAGGTGATGGCTGGAAACACCATTGCAATTATTCTCAATACCAAACTGTGGAAGCTAAATCAATACAGTAGCTGAAGGAATATATTATGTTAATTTATGTTGAGGAAATTGGTAGAAAAAAACCCTGTTCACCTAAGGATATATTTCGATATTACTATTTCCAAAATTCAAAAATTTAATAATAATTTCCACTTCTAATACTTTCCTCCATGAATTTCAAAGCACTTCGTAGTGAGGAGACAGTGTTTAGCACCAACCTAGGAAATGCACAGCAGCCATTTTGTGTAGAAATGCTAACCATATATCAGTTGCAGTACACGATAAAGAAGTACAATGATTTGTTCCTTAAAATATTATAATATCAATCAAAACCTTTAAATTTGAGTGAAATCAGAAGGAAGGCCATGCATGAAAGTACAAACTTGCAACTTTCAGTCTATGAACGATGCAAATTACCTTCAAAAGAGACTTGCCTGCGTACAAGTTTATTGTATCTCTGGCTGAGCGGGGGTAGACCTGTGGGTCCACCATTGGCAGCAATTTAAAATTGTTTATGCAATTAATGATCCATTTTCACTGCCTGATCTCCTAGACTCAGGACTAATAGCTGTGGAACGTGACAGAGATGAACAATACGGTTCTGTGTACACTTCACAGGAAGCAATGCATTAAAAATGTTAACACTACACTGAAGTTACTGTTCTCTAAATCAATGTTTATGATGGTTACCCAATGTTTTTAAAGCATCAAGACAGTAAGGTCTTAAGTGAATATATCTACCATATTATATGTTCCCTGAATGGTACAAAAAATAATTATAATTTGTTGGGCATCAGATCAGTGGCATCTGTTGGTACAGCTCTTGGTAGTATTCCATGTGTTGCAACCACCACCTTTGTCTGAAGTCAGTGGTTGCAAAATCTGGACCCATGTAATAAAAAGCTTCCATATTATAATGTTACATCTTATTTGCACCATAATGTGCCAGTGTGATTGTTTTATCATGTAATCTTGAAACTAATTTTATATTATAAATATTTTCTAAGGTTTTTTGTTTAGTATGCAGTCTTAATGTCAACATATACAGGAAACTAGTTATTACTTTGACTGTATTGACATGTCCCAGAAACAAACATTTTTTTCCGAGATTAATTTTCTAAAGGGTTCATTTATCTATGATGATATCCCTTCTTAATTATAACATATTCTTTTTATAACTGAGAAAAAAAAATCACAGAAATAAACAAATCACAGAGCCACTGCTGTTCTTTGCTGGAAAGGGATATAGCACTGTAAAACTTGGATCAGGATGGAAGTATCCTCTCATGATCAATCAATATACATAAATGTGACCCACAAAGTGAACATTTAAAATAATAATAAAATGAATACAGCAGTAATTTGAAAAAAGTACAGCCATTTGTGAAAACTTTCCGCCTTGCAAAATCGGCCAAGGAATCGTTGGCACTCAATCTTCAGGCAATTTTGCACTTTAAATGAGTTTGCAATCCTTCCATTTTTCCCTTCACCTTTGTATCAAAGGTAAACAGAAACCATAGGGGATGCTGGGAGGGATGGATTCAGAGCCAAATGGGGAAGACTTTCAAAATTGGGGGCAGCAACGAAATGGAGAGGCCATGGAGAGGTGAAGCCCTGGTGAGAAGGTGTACAATATAAAATGTATTAACTCTCAGACTGGCTGTTGGGCAGAGCCTGATAGAGCCAACTGATGAATTAGAGCAAGAATGTGTCAATCTTCACTGCCTTCCTGCACAGAGGTCTCTTACTTACTTATTCACTATCAACACCTGAACTGTATTCTGTTAAGATTAATCTGGTGTCTCAAACATTGCAGGAGTTTGTATTGCAGCAATGACTGACAATGGCAATATGATCAGTCTGTTAATAATTAAGTCTAAGTCTGTTGCGACAAAAAAAAAAAATTAGTAGTTAGTGGTTACGTGTGTGTGTGTGTGTGTGTATATATATATATATATACATACATATACATATACACACACACACATACACATACACACAATATATCCTGGGATGAGGTTTTACCTTCTGTATTTTCTGAAGCTTTTTTTTCAAGGAATTGAAAGTATACAAATCTTTGTTCGTGATCAGTTATTTGTATTGTGAATTTGTGCAAAGTCATGTTGAATGAAAACAGCAATAAGAAGTGACACTTCACTTCCAAGAAAGAAATTACATGTGCTTGACAGAGCCCTAAAATTGTGCTGTCTGGTGCATATTAAACTGAATCTTCTTGGAGCTCTGTTGTGGTCTGTCTTTGGTCATCCTCCACTAAAAAACAACTCAAAACTCAAAATGTTCTAATGCAGAATACAGTTAACCCTCTATGGTACACAATCAAACAGAGAAATATACCAAAATATTCAAATATAAAAATTCATTCCAATATCTACGTTCAATAACTATCTACATGTGCAGTCGCTGGCAGGGATGAATTCTGGAAAAGTGAACTAATTAGATTCAGATTTTACCAGGAAAGCAGTACATATTTGGAAACGTTTTCCTGGACCCAGCTCCATCCACATCCCTAGTCATAGTCACGATCTGACACCCAAACCAAAATGGGATGTCTAAAAATATCCTCAGATATAAATTATATTCAAAGTAAGAACATTTTTAATGGATTTTTGTTTTATTCTTTTTTTTTTTTCATTTTTTGTGAAAGGTTTAAAGCTTTACCATTTAACATTTTACCATCTTGCTATCATCCTACATACCTTCATCAACAGCTTTATTTCAGAAGGTAAACCTACTTTTAGAAAGTAAGTTGATTCCCTTATCAAATTTTCTTCTGAAATAAGAGATGGGGAAAAATACATTTGACAGTAATAACTTGTATTCCAATGTGCAAAATAGTGCCAATAGTAAATGATTTCATTATCTTTATTTGCCCAGTCTCCATAATATCAGTCATTATGTGTGTACCTCACAACACACTTATGATTATGCTTATCAAAGTCCTAAAGGCTGGGTTTCTTTCTGCGCTGTCTCCCTTGTGTTCATTTTTCAGGGTTTGGACTAGGGGTCCCACATCCCATTTCCTCAGTTCCATAGACCTGTTTCCAAGGCACCACGGTAAACTGTAAGTGAAAGTTGATGGAGACATTCATCAGTTCCCAACCAGCTTATTGATCTTCCTGTCTGCAATAATGATTTCTGTCAAACTGTGTCACTGAGTCTGAGTGAGCAGCACAGCTTGAGTAGAACACTTTGCAATGAAACTGGGAGGAAAAAAAAAAAAATTCCTGGTGATTTTCACTCATTGCCTTTCCATGGGCACCCAAAAGCAGACAAGTTTAATTTTTTTTCAGTGTTGTCACAGTAATACAGCAAGCATTTGCACAGGGACAATAGACAATAAGTGAGGTCAAATACCTCCTGACCAGCCGAGCTAACTGGCAAGACCTTGTAAGTGCTAAACCTACAAATGTGCCAAAATTGCAATAACTGTCACTTGAGACTGGCAATAAGGGAACAGTGACCTGACTCAACATATGTCCTTGGCCCCAGCAGTGGAGTTATCAAAAGCAGACCAGCTGTGCTGCTGTAAATGTGTCTACAGATTGGAGACTAGGGGACAGTTGTGGCGCGTACACAGTCTATGCATGACAATCTAAGAAAATTTCCATGGTCCCAG